GTAACATCACTTAAGTGGAATTGATAGTCAAAATAAAATAAAACCAATAGTTAAAATAACAACATTATTGTTTTTTTTTTTAAAAACACAACATTACTAAAAATCTAAAAGATCTAAATTTTACAAAATCTAATCAGACAATAAAAGAAAAAAAAAAGGAAAAAAAAAGTAAGTAATAAATAGATTTTTTAAAAAAAAGTGGAGATGTGAACCCAAACTTTATGTCAACTAAAAGACTAAATTAATAACTATAGTGTATATATACACATACACACACACAAAAAAAAATGGCGTGCATTGATATACAAGATGTCGCACATTCATATATTGAATATTGTGCATCGATAACTCTCTGGTTTGATTATTTAGCATGGCCTTAGTTGTGCATTTATATTGCTTTGATCGTGCATTCCTACAGAGAACGTTGTGCATTCTTATACTAAATGTTGTGCATCGATAACTCTTTGATTGTGCATTCAAACACACCCCCACATCCTATGATGGACTTCCAATGTTATACAATGCACTGCACAAATTGCACAACTTACAAGCCTACAATGCACACCTCACATACTTGGTTGTACAACCAATGGCAAATTATATTATGCACCGCGGTGCATAATCTTTTTTTTTTTAAATGAAAATTAACAGTGTTTATTTCCGCCGTTTCGCACCCTTTTGCAAAAAGTAACTCTGTTATTCAGTGTCATTTTGTATACACTGCAGTTTCAGTTGAACACAACTACAGTTTCATTTCGATATAACTATAGTTTCATTCGATATTTATAGACTCAAATATGTGAAAATGTTATTTAATTTTATTTTATATACACTATAGTTTTATTAAAACACAACTACATGATCATTTTGATATAATTACAGCTTCATTGTACAATATACACTCAAATATGTGAAATGTTATTCAGTTTCAGTTTATATACACTGCAGTTTCATTTCATTATAACTACAGTATCATTTTGATATAACTGCAGTGTCGGTTTGGATATATTGTAGTGTCAGTTGGTGTTTAATACACCAAACAAACGGACTCCGTTAACTCTAACGGCGAGCCGTTTCTTTACTTAAAGAAACGGCGCCGTATATGGGCCGCGGTGCGTAATCGATTATGCACCGCGGTCTATAATATAACAACTGACAACCAACACAACTGAATGCACGTACTAACTAAAATGCGTATATATACATCAACATCCAAATATAGGTAATATTATACTAAAAACAAACGAAAAAAATAATAAAAAAAAATATTGATCACTTTCTAGGGACGAACACTCGATCGATTATGAAAAAATCGTGACTCCAATTCGCAGTAATGATGATCCAAAAGACGCAAATATATCTTCACGTGCGGTTAACACAAAAAGACGCACCTTAAGCACACAAACAAAGTACCTTAAGAACACAAACCATGCACCTAAAGTTTTAAAATTGCGCACATTAAGTACAAAAACAACGCACCTTAAGCACACAAACAAATTAAAGCACCTTATGAACACAAATCACGCACATAAAATTTTAAAATGGTGCACCTTAAGCATAATAATTACGCACCTTAAGGAAAACAACGCACCTTAAGAAGGAAAACCACGCACCTAAAGCTTTAGCCCGATGCACCTTAAACTTCAACAACTGACCTACCTTAAGCACACAAACCACACCTTAATAAGGAAAATCACGCACCTAAAGCTTTAGATCAACGCTCTTATGTTTTCAACACCTGACGCACCTTAAGCCATACAGTACAAAAACCAATCACCAACCCATAAATGACCAAATTGCCACCGCGTATTTTTTTTAGTAACACCTCCACTGAAGCACACAGAGTCACATACATTCTTAACAACGCCTCGACTGAGGCTTGATCTCATAACCTCCCACATGTGAGAGGTCACTACATGCCATCTGAGCACAAGGCGTGATCCTATACTTAAGAAGTCAATTAGGTCATTAAACATTTAAAGGTTGCAATTAAACCCTTAAACATATTATTTTAAAACATTGAAGTCCAAAAACCACTTAGTGACCTGTAATTACAAACACCAGTAAAACGGTCGTCGGTGTCGTTTAATTTCCTTCGCCCGAGAAAGCAGACCAAATCAGTTAAATATAAAAAGATGTAATATAATAACAAACAACCTTTGTCTTACTATATGATTGTTAAATATCTTTTTGAAAATTTATTTATAAGCAATCTTTGTAATTTGTAAACAATCATACACATTCGAATTCCAATATCTGTCATCATTTGTATATATAAAAAGAGTACTCAAAAAGTGATTATTCATCTTTTTTCTTTTGCATATTTGAGAAGATTATTACATAGCATAATTTAATGACTATTATTTAATTTGGGAATTGATGCCTAAGACTATAATTATATAATTTAAGGGCATATATCACCAAATCTTAACTTAGTGATTGCAGCGGGAAATCAAACCTGATTATAAATAATTTTGTATAATATTTTTAATCACTACGTATAAAGATATTTAATTAAAGTTAAATATATTTTTGCAGCACGCTTGATTTAGAATGAATTTTTAAAAAATAGGAATCATATTCCATATATAGAGAATGGAATGACAAGGAAAAGAATTTGATTTCTAATCCATGGATTGTGAAAGTAATAAACTTCAAGAATGGTATTTCATTGGGAAGTTAGTTTAAGAAATAGAAATAGAATAACCATTCAAAAAATATAAATACCCTCTATTATGAATATATAATGATATAGATACATATGTTTATAACAACAATAATAACAACAACAACAACAACAGTACTTCAAGGGTGTATTAGACATTACAAAAATAGACTGTTCCAGAAAATAAAAAGACTTACCAAATAATGAAATATATGACTATTTCTTAAAAATGCTATTTCATTCATGAACTATTTTGTGAACAAACCATACTAGTTTATATAATACTTATGCTTGGTTAAATTAATCCCTTATTACAAAAACAAACTAATTCACCATAATTATGCACAAGGATTGGAGCAATTTGAGCTTTAAGGGTTAAGTGACTGATTTGTTAAATGATCATATGTGTTTTTGGTATGTTCTAGGTTTCCATGGAGCTTATACTTTTTATTACTTTTTATATTAGTGACAATGTGTAAAATCATGTTAAAAGTAACACTTAACATGATAAGAGAGATCAAAATAACCACTTAATATATGATTAATGAGAAATTGAACAGACTAATGACAAAAACAAACCAGAATTAAAAAAATAGGGGGTGGAGTTTTGGATCCTCAGCTCGGCTCCTCTCTATTAGAGATGGAAAGAAAAACAAATTTAAAAAAGAAAAAAAATTGATTAGTGATATCAAATATGTTATACTTTGATAAAGTTAATTTTCAGGTTGAAGTAAAAAAAATACCGTTAAGGCGAAGAATGATATATAATTAATGGGTTCATCAAACAGAATAAGCAAACTTTTTATAAGAAAGACAATAGATATGTGTCACTCATTATGCTCTTCACAAGCATAATGATGATCAATCCATAGATGCTCTCATATATCTTTTTGTATTCACCTATGCTTCTAAGTAAAGCTAGTGTTGCTATATATATACCTATTCAATATGTAACGTAATTCCCAATGCTATCTACTTGAGAGGCTACTCCCCTATATATATAGCCGTATATACATTTCTTTCCATTATATAGACACACACATACACAATCGTAGTATTATGTCGTTGGTATTAAAAACTTTTAAATTTAATTATGTTGAAAATGATAACTTGTAGTTTATATTTTAAAATAATTTAATTGATGTGATCTCACATTAATTCTATAAAAGATTGTAAGAGAGTTTAAGTTGGATCACATCTTTATTATTGAGCTAATTTTTTTGTGGTGAAGTTAAGCTTTAGCTTGAGTCTCGTATCATTGTCTGAGCTTGAGTATCGTATTATTGATGCTTTAATTGTAAAGCTAGTGCATGATGGGAAAGAGTTACTTGAAAAAAGGGCTACCTAGCATGCCTTTCGATGCTAGAGTGAGAGTTATTTGCTTAGCATCGTAAGTTGAGGTCAAATATCCACTCTTAAACTCGATAATCTTGTGTTACAATATGAAATAAAATTTGTAAATAGTAAAATATATTAAAGTTATTGTTGTTGATCTACAAAATGGCCTGGATAATTAATAACTACAAGGGTAACCTTGATTTATTAAAACTCTCGGGTGGAGCTCACCAAATTAGGTTGTTTATGCCTTACAAAAAAAATCTCGATTTATTAAAATTCCTTTAATTTGGATGAAACTCATAGCTTAAGTTGTCCAAGACTGACCAAGAAAGTCAATAGACAACCTAAGTTGGTTTACTTGTGATCTTTTGCTGACTAGAGTTACAAGACGGGCTTCATCTAGTGTACGCATTTGGATAGTGACTGTGAATTTTTTTATAAATCAAAACTCCCTATGTGTCATACCAACTTGGCTAGGGTTACCCTTGATTTAATAAAATTAAAACCTTATAATAAAAAATGTTTTTAATAATAATGTGGTGTGCTACTCCCAAAATTACTAATTTGTATTTGACTTCTCTTTCAACTTCCAAAGGAAGCAGTTGAATGACACAATCAAATTAAAAGCACAAAGCTAAGGCATATAAACTTCCAGCCTTCACCTACATCTCCTCTATATCTTATTCTAGATTTTTATTTTTTAAAAGGAAGGAAGAAAACAGTACCACAAAACAAGGGTGGGGTAAGAGAGGAGTATGGAGCAGCCAATCTCTGACTTCCACTAACATATTCCAAACACATAAACAAATGAAAAAGTGAGATTTCCAATCAAATGATCTCTCCCCACTCTCACTCATATTCTGGAATTCCATTATTCCCTTCCATTTTTTTTTATTTTTTATTTATTTTTGGTTGAATTATAACACTCTAGCTAGCTAGTGCCAGCTCTATATACAGAATAGAATAGGGATATATAGAAGTAATTAAAGAGAAAAAAAAACAATAAAAAAAAAAGCTCCTTTAATTTATTCTACCAATTCATCATCATCATCAGCTACAAACAACAAATTCTCTGTAATTAAACTAATCATGAATTAACTAGCTAATTAAGCTACTCTATTTTTTTTTCTTTCTCTTTTATAGTCGAATTAGCAATTTGTTATATTATCAAACCCTAGCCAAAGCAACTTTAATCATAATTCTTCAATTATTACAGGGCAATATGTAGGTTGCAGTATATTATAATGGCCCCTAAAATTGGCCAAAGCTTCATCATTTTGCCCTGTAGCTGTGGCCCAGCAATCACCCGTCAGTCCTTCAATGCTAGCTCCATCATTTTTTTTTTTTTTTTTTCCTTTTTCATCATCATCTTGGACCTCCTGCCCGCCCGCCTGGACAGTTTATATCCTTTGAATTTCAATTCCTATCTCATCTTTTTGATGGATCATATAGAATTGGCCAGTGTTCCTAGTAGTGACTATATATATTATGTTGTTGTCATCTTATCTAAAGCTTCCTCCGAATGACGTTGGACTCCAGAAATCTGCTGTGGTCTCGTGGGTCACCGGGAAGGTGCTGGACACCGGCACCAGACACAGTCCTCGGCTCCTAAGATCTTGCCTTGCCCCACCTTCTGGATCTTTGGATTTCTCCGAACTAATCTGCAACCAACCAACAATGTAAGAACTCAAATCCAAGATGTTATCCCCGACAAGGAGATCCATCCCGGACCACAACTCAACTTCATGGGAGTTAGTTGAATATAAACTAACCCACAGTTTAATTTGCTGTACATTGGTGATATGTGTCATTTATTTGACCATACTAGAATAGAGCTACCAAGAATGAAGCACTACTATACTTTCCCATTTACCTGTTGTTGTTGATGCTGCATGGAAGATCCACTTTTCATGTATGGGGCGCTCAGTGCCTACAATTTTAATTTAATTCCGAGAAGCAACATTTATTAGTAAAAACATTCTACTCTTGCTCATAAAATGTGAAATTCCCTCGCCTCCAGGCCCCACATCCTAGTCGGACACGTTAGTGAATGGGTCACAAGACTCAGCGGAGGAGTAAATCACTGTAACTTAGCAGCCTATTAAGTAGGAAGACCAGACACTGCTGGAAATTATGGAATTTTCGACCACAGTGATCTTAAATCAAGTTGAAAGCCTTGTTCTGACCACTTTTGGTATTCGGAAAAATCTTTGTTGCTATTTCCGACCACTTTTAGCTTTCGACTTGATTTAAGATCACTTTCAGGTGGTCGGAAATTTCATAATTTTCAGTAGACTAGTTTTCATAAGGAGTCCACCACAAAAGGTGTAACTCCCATACTATGGCTTTTAGGGCTCGATCCAAGGTGAAATTCCCTCGCCCTTGGGTCACTGCATTCCAGCCCGACAGGATAGTGGAGGGAAAAATTACAGAAACTCAACAACCCACTAAATGGGAAGAGCAGTGTCTGGTCTCACAAGGAGTCTACCACATTGTGCGTAACTCCATAGTGCGACTCTCTATCAATCAGGAACCAACTGAACTGTCTTAGTACCATAAGTTTAAAACATAGTTTAGTAAATTGAGATTCATTTTGAAAGTGGATGGCAGACATGGGAGCAGAAGGTTAATATTGTTGGGATGGGATGAGAGAGTGCTTACATTGACTTGATCGTGGAGGAATTTTATATACTCAATGGCTTCAGTGAGCACAGAGGCTGTATCAGTCTGAAACAGATGAAAAAGTACTTAGAATTTAATGAGTGAATGAATGTGCGTACAACCTTTTTTGTTTTTATTTTGTCAATAAATTCAGAAAGCTAATCATCCCATACTCACAATATAGTATATAGTAGAGATGAGAGGAGTAGAGACGAGAGCCTTAGCTGTGAAAGCTGTAAAGAGAATTTGAGAAGGAAGCTTTAATATTTACCTTTCCAAAAGGCGAAACTAATTGTTGGAGCGCAGTGATTCTGTCTCCCATCTTCTCTTTCCTTACCTGAATTTAATTTCTCAATCAAAACCTTACATAATAACCTAAATAAACTCTCACCTTATCAATTCAATTAATGCAAATTTTCTATTCAAAAAGTTGTTCTTTTTAAAGCAAGTTGCAGCAGTATACCTTAAAAGGTGGCATGGGCGGTGATGGGTTTTCATTCCGTGACCTTTTCCCTGACGGCGTTTCATTGCTCGTTTTCTTTGCCGCCGCCGCCGTTGATGTACTCAAATCTGATACATTCTGTTTCCACAAAATACATAAAATCAAGAAAGTAATATTAAGAAAAAAAAAAAGAGGAGAAATTTAAGGTGGATGATGTTATGAGACAGTATAGTTACAGTGTATTAATTACCTTTGGTTTTTCATCAACGGCGGAGCTAGGAAGTTGTGAGTGTAACGAAGGGAAGAAGGTGGAGCGGACATCGTTCATGGCGGCGGCGGTGGCATTCCAGAAAGTAGTGTTGTTAGAGAAATGCAACTGAGGTTGCTGCGGCGGCGGCGGCGAAGTTGTTCGGAGAAACTGAGGAAACTTATTAGACCAGGAAGAGGACATTACGTCTCCGGCGGCGCCGTAGTTTGCGGGGGTATTATTATAAGGAAAACTCATGGATGTCCGGGCGGTGAAGTTGGGCTGATTATTATTACTGTTAGATACCAAAAGCCCAGCTTGCAGTATGGTGGAAGGGCTTCCATAAGAGGAATCCAGCTCAAAGCTGGTGTTTAAACCCTGGCAAGTGGAAGCGCCGCCGCCCAGATACTCATGCGCCGGCTGATCTAACGAAAACCCCGCCCGCCCGCCGCCGCCCATTTGCTGCTTATTATTGTAATCATTCACCGAAGCTTCATCTGAACCTCCGCCGCCTGAGTATAGAACTCTGTGTCTCCACTGTTCTTCCGAGGCTGTCTCTTGTTGATGATGATGATGATGATAATTCGCGTTGGAGCTCAACTCTTGTTGTTGTAACATGGATCCAAAACTGTTCTGTTCACCTTTCTCACCTCGACTGGTGAACAAAGAAATCTAATTATCAGTTTAGACTTTTTGTTTCTATCTGGTTGGAGATTTAAAAAGATGACGAGTATATGTATATATGTATATGAAATAGCTAACGTTAATGGGGTGGACTTACAATAGAGATTGATTCCAATCTATCGGTTGAGAAGAAAGGCCTAAACCCATGATTTGCAAGTTGGGATCAACCAGTACCCCACCGGAGGCGGTGGCAGATGCGGAATCCAAGGAAGACCTGGCGGCTTTGATGTCCACTACTTCCCCCGGCGCCGCCCAACCAAAGCTGCTAATTCCCATACTAACACTGTTACTACTCATATGCAGTGCGCTCGAGGCGGCGGCGGCGGCGGGGGAGGAAGAAGACGACGACGATCCGCCGCCGCTGTCAAACCTATTTCTTGAGGAAGACGAGGAAGCCGAAACCCACCAATTCCCGGCGCCCAGCTGAAACTCTTCCGCCATGGCCTGGCCTCCTGAAATTACTTAATTTGTCGTTTACTTGCGCGGTACGTAATCAAGAAGAATGTTGAGCGGTTTCGGAATGGCTATGAAGAAGTGAAATGAAAGCGTTGCGCTGCATCTATCTAAGGAGGGAAGGGAATGGAAGGGAAAGGGTCTTTATAGTGTGGGAAAGAAGAGAGGAATTTGGGTTGACTTTTAATCAGCGCCGGGGGGTTGGGTTGATTAGACTAATGAAAAGCTCATTTTGAAATGAAATTCCCCTTGCTAACTTTGCCAAACAGATAAATTCTCTTTATTTGCTTAATTAATTATTATTAATTATATATAAATAGAATTTTCAGCTTTGAGGTGCGTCAATTGCTTCAAAAAGCTATCGATGCCAACCGTGCTTTCTCGGACACTGTCGAGTCAATTTACCATTGATGGTTCCAGACAAAAACGTTACACGTCATATCCACAATTCTCTCATACTCCTCCCTATCCTTTATTTAATTATTCAATAATTTCAAATTAATTTCTACCCACCATAATTTCCTATACCATACTTAATGAATTAAATATATTTCTACCCTTTAATATGCGTGTATGTTAAACACATAACTATACGTACTTGTGTTATTATTTTTTTTCGTAACTATACTTGAGTTATTTAATAAAAATGAATGGAATAAACCTATTGCTATGTGAACTATTATGTAGTAGGGTAGTCCTAATAGGTTTGTGTAATAATCAATTGTATATTATAAAAGTTTTTGTATGAAAGTTATAAATAATTTATCAATATAAGTTATGAAATGTTTGTAATATAATGGTGTATTCAATTTAAATTTTTTATGACTTGTAAATTTTATTTTTTTGAAAACAAAAAGTAATTCATTAAAGCAAATGTTCAATACAAGAAGGAATTGAAAGCAACCAACAAAGAGGACCAGACTGCGAACGAGTAGCTCTAGTTAAAGCACGAGCAACTTTATTCACTGATCGCGAAATATAACGAAAGGACACTGCTTCAAAGTGTCTTTTGAAAACCCGGCACTTGCAAATCATATATATCTATAGTACAAAAATATTATTTATAAAGTGTTTGAGTATCTTAGTTGGTTAACTCTTACAATTTGATATTATAAGTCTTGGGATCAAATCGCATTAACACCATTTTAACTTTCTAACCACTCCACAAGAGTCATGTGTTAGTACTTATATTATACTAGTTTTATACGCGCATTGCGTGACTGATTTAATGCCCAAGATTGTATAGGAGAAGTTCATTATAGTTGACATTAAAATTAATGTAATACTTATTGTAGTTGGTTTGGTATTAGGTAGTAAATACTACTTTTGGTTGAAATTACTCTAATTTTTGTTAAATCAAGAAAGTAAATTGCAAAGTGGAAATAGAGATAAAGGAAATAGAACTTATATATTGAAATGGATGGTAAATCTTGAAATATAAGGGTTATCCTTAATTAAAACTTCAAATATGTTTAGGAACCTAAATCTAAGCCTAATATAATCCTAAAATATGAAAGGAAATGGTTGAAAATAGTTAAATTAGGATTCAAAAATGGGTTGGAACCATGTTAAAATGGCTGAAAACGATGTTAAATAGTAACAGAGTAGGGTAGGCACGAGCGTGGGCACTACCACGATTGAGCCCATGCCCAGAAAAGTGTGAACATTGGAATATGGGCACGGGATTAGGCACGGCCGTGACCAATGCCGTGCCTACCTCCATGCAGATTTCCTGTGTAGCTTCTTTGATTTCTAGTCAATTTTTCACACTCGAAATCTTTGAATTTGTCTTTATGATATTCATCAAAGTTGTAGCCCTTTAAGTTGGCTTTCTAATGGTGCAAGAATAACTTTTGGATATTCTTACGCTGAGATATGGTCAAAATACCAAGCAGTGGACGAGTTATGCGAGAATTTCAATTTCTTGTTCTTTTGCTCCACTTTTGTTTTTGTTTGTTCAAACGACCAAGACCATTGAACGCACCACACTATGGCTCTACAAGAGGTATTGTTCTAATCTTCATAGCTGCTCATTATCTCCCATATACTCTATATGCATCCAAAATGCTCTAAAAATCATTACATAATCCATCTAAATCATGAAGAATTACACCTAAACACACAGATGAATCAAATGAGGAACATTTTCTGCAAAATTATATATAAAAAAATTATAAGAAAAATAAGCTGAAATGCAAGATGAAAATATAAACATTTAGACTTTTATCACTCCCCAACCCTTAGAATTATTTTTCTTTCTATTTTTTAAAATTACTTATGTCATTTTTGAATTATTTTTATGAACGTTAGAAATAATAGTTGAATTTTTTATTTTTTTTTTGAACAAGAAATAATAGTTGAATTTAATTGCATAACATTCATTTTAGATTATTTTTGACCTATTGCTCATTTGCAATGATACCATTTCGTCAAACGTAACACCTTTTTTAGTGATTAGAGTCTTGATATTTTTTTTAGCATGGTTTCATGTGAGAATAGACATCCAAATATGAATGGAAAAATGTACTATGCAAAACTAATAAGGGTATCAAATGATATGTAAAGTGTAAATAAAAAAAAATGTAAACTCTAAAAATGCACTATGTGAAATTACAAAATACATCCTTACTTTAGTTATACTATTACATATCATAGGGTATACATTTTTTTAAGTGCACTTTTATAAACTATCGGATGCATGCACTTGATAGTTTTACGCGGTGTGCATGCACACATTTGTACTTGGGCACACATTTTTATTACATCCAGCTTTACGAGCACGCAGATATAATGTGAGATAATTGCTAATGTAATAAATGTGAATAAATTAAATCTCGTTTATTTATCTAAAAAAAAAACAAATGGATGAAGATATAAGTTTATATATAAAAAAACAAATGAAAGCATTGATGTAATAAATAAGTATTTGAATTAATTAATCATGCATATTTATCCAAAACAATGTGTGTTAAGCTTCATGATGTAACATCATCTCCAATTAACACGGCAAAATGCTAAAATGGTGTGATTTTTGGTGTAGAATCTCCCAAAAAAACACGATATTGCGACAAAATTGTGTCATTTTATGAATAGTGTAGCGCCATATTCATAAAATGTCATTTTTGATGCAGCAATTTGTTTTCTATTTTGCCCATGTTTTGTTCTTGGTCTTTTTTTTTTTTTTTTAATAATATAATTCCTTTTGTATCTTTTTTTTTTGTTGTTTTTTTTTATACTTACATATTTTGTTAAACATTTAAACATAAATTGTATATTATTAAAAATAAATTATGTCATTTGAAAGACATCTCTAAGACGTTTAAAACATGACTAATATTGAATATAATTTAATTAAAAATTAGATTTTACATAAAACATAATTAAAGTTGTTATTTATTATATTACATTAAATTACAACTATATGTTATATTAAAATACTAAAAATATAAATATAAACTTTTTAATTTATGAGAATATAAATTATTTTAGTTTAGGAATAAAATTTAGTGTAAATGACCGGATTGGAGATGAAAAATATATTGTAAGAATATGTTGAAAATATTCTTTTTGGTGTAAAATTTGGTACAGAATTTAGTGTTTTGGATTAGAGATGACCTAACAAAGATGGGTATATATATAGCCTTCTTGAAGCATCCATGCATATTTAGGCTAAAAAGCTGCATGTTTGGACTAAAATAATGTAAGTTTTTCTCAAAATAATGATGCAAGTTTATCTGCAAATTGATGCATTGAAAATTTTTGCATATTTACAAAAGTGCTACTGTCATATTTATGATCCAACAACACTGATTAATTACATTCGAGTCACACTTCAACTGATCAATCAATTTAAAATAATTTTATAAATTTTATTTTATTAATAACTTAAGAACTAAAAAAAAAGTATAAATTTAACTTTATTATAAACACTAGTGCATAAACATCATGTGAGCCACTTAACATTGCGGATTAGTTGACCAATTACTTACCTATTTATCTGATTACCACTTTTTGTCAACAATCACGTGGAGTTTTTACTCGCTGATTTTGTAAGAATTCTGTTGTCCCATTTAGTTAGCAGTGTTGTTTAAGACTCTTTAGCCTTTTCTGCCCACTAAAACACAATAATAGTAATACTAATAATAATAATAATCAATTCTAAAACCCAATCAAACCAATAATTTCTCATCTCTCACCAGCCCGTATTACAAGGGAAGAACAGCATTTGGGGATCAAGTATTAGAAGAGAACTTCATGATAGATCTTTACGAAGAATAGCAAAGCAATGACGTTCAAGGCGTATAAATTTGTTGCCGATCCTTAGAATGAAGGATTGTTAGTGAGAAGAGGTCAAGTATTAGAAAGATTTTATAGAATATATCTATGAAATGACAACAGTAATTTTATATTTTCGCAATAAAAACATTATATTAGTGGAATCTCTTTTTAAAGATAAGAAAAAGAATGTTTTAAGAGGATTACACCATCGTCAAACTATTGTAAAATTTTGACTATACTCTCTTTACTTGGTGCACTTATTGCTTTATATTGCATAATCCATTTCCAACTTTATATTGACTAAACCAAGTTATGCTTTTAAATCAAAACAATATAATGCAAGAAAAAAAAATTCCGCAACATATATTTGTGAACTTTAGTTTACTAAAGTTAAAAAACTTATAAAAGTCTATTCACCTACCCTTCTCTCCAGGGACGAAGTCAGAAATTCGGTTGAGGGGGGCGAAGAATTAAGTAGGGACGGATTCAGAAAATTTGTCCAGTAAAGGCCAAACATTAAAACAAAAGAGATAATTAAAAAAAAATTACCTAAGAAATATAGTTGTAAATAATATTGTTAGATATGGGCGAAAAATAAAACACATCGAAACTTTATAAAAATATTCATAACAAAATATGAAACATAATTAATTTGATAAAATAATTTGAATAGAAAACATGTGTGTGTGTGTGTGTGTGTGTTAAATATTAAAAAAGCTATTAAAAATATATAGCAAAAGAATTCAAACCCCGGACCTTTACAATTGCCAAACATGTGCTTTGTCAACAAATCGAACTCATTTCTTGTTAACATTTAATAGTTTTTTTTATAC